AATGTCAGTCGAGAATGTGATGCAGCAAGACAGTGCAGAGGTTCCTCCATCTTGTATTCTTGCTGAGGCCATTCCATGTTTAACTAAAATCTGGTCTCCTTGATGGAGAATCTCATGAAAAACTACCCAACTCTATTCTAGGAACCAAAGATCAGGATGTCCTAGCTAACTTAGCTTCTGTTAAAATGCCTGTTTGTGCAGAACCTCCTCCAGCTAACCACTTGCTAACTTAGCTTCTGTTAAGCTGCCTCTGTGCAGGAGCCCCTCCAACTAACTGATAATCTTAGCTTCCGTTAAACTTGCCGGTTTCAAACTGCTTGCTTCTGCAAACCCTGCAGCATCTGCTGAATGAGATGCCAGGACATGGTTTCTGCCTTTAAAAACCCTGTGTTCTGGAAACCTGGAGCTATACCCAGGTCCCCAAACACTTGGGTGAGGTCCCAGCTGGCTAGAATAAAGACTTTCAATTGGCTATGTACTGTGTCTGAGTAGTCATCTCTGGTGAGCAACCTATAACAATTGCACAGATGCCTGCAACATGTATTATGGGGGATGGAAACAAATGGATTTCTGGTGTTTGCTGGCTGTCAGTTTAACCAAAAGAACATAAGCTCAAGTTCAGGGCATGACTCTACTTCAAATGAATAAGGAGGAGAGGAATGGAAGATAGCCAACACGATCCTCTGTCCTCCATTGTATACAGGTATACAACACTGTCACCCTTACACATGTGCATATGCTGCATTATTACACACACTAATTTCAACAAAGCCAAGATGGAGATACACACCTTTAATCCCAGCATCAAGAGGCTAAGGTGGAAAGACTGCTACAAGTTGAGGCCAATCTGAGATAAAGAGTACATTTTAAGCTAGCCTGAGTTGCACGGTGAGACCTTGTCTCAAAAACTAAAACATATATATGAAAAACCTTAAAAATTCAAAAAAATAAAATGGGGCCAACAAAATGGCTCAACAGGTAAAGATGTTTGCTATCAATGTTAAAGATCTTAACTTGATCCCCTGAGTTTGGTCCCTGGATCCTAATCCCTGTGGTAGAGGGAAAACCAACTCCTTCAGTTTGCCCTCTGATCTCAGTTTGTACACTGTAGCTCCCACACAAAATAAATAAATGTAAAAAAATTAAGACAGAATATACCATAGGAGTACCAAGATAATAACCATATTTATTTTTATTGTTACATTGGAAATGAAAATCAAGTGTGAGAAGCTGCAAACGTCTACAACTTCAGAATAATGAAAAAGCAATGGAGTCATCCATCCTAGGTTAAAACTGGCTTTCACTCTACAGAGCACAAGGACTACAAAGCACCATGGGTATTAGTGGTGAGATTACTGTCAGCATTTGCCATCTGCAATTTATTCATCAATGAGGAAGTTTAAAAACAAAGGGAATGCCTAGTCCTGATTACCGTTTAACTGGGTACTGATTAACACTTAACTGTCAGGTATAGGTGAGAAACCATCAGCAATTGTCATAAATCTCTAGAAACACATAGGATTCCAAAAAGCAAGCCCCAAACCAACACTGTTAGGCAATGTTGGAGTTTATTTTTCCAAAGAGATCCTCATTTCATGATCTTTTCACAAACTCCTTCTCTTGCTGGATTGCTAGGGGAAAAAATAGAAAAAAAATCTTTAGAAGGGATTTTCTTCTCTTTTTTTCTTTCTAAAAGATGGCTTTACTAAGTCACTGAAAGCTGATAAACATGCCTTATATTTAGAATGCAAAGGCATTAACTACTTATCCTCATAATGGAGGTGTGTGTGTGTTAGAGCACCTGAAGACCTTATTAGAATCTATATATTCTCTATATCTACTCTCTAGATTTAAGTGATAGATTTAGAATATTGTTAAAATATTGCTATTTTCCACTGAGTGTTCTAGGAAGAGGAGTAAGTGAGATTTTCCTTCAGTTTTATCCTTATACAACTAGAAGTTAGACCTTTTCAGATGATTTTGTTCAATTTTTGAGTTTTCTAACAAGACAAAAAGTGCCACTCAGCTTTTAAAAGTACGCTTTTAGTTTCTCTAGGAGGCGGTTATCCTGAAGAGCAAACTGATCCTTTGAATCTGAGAAACATAAACACACACAAGCTCTAAACTTATTCTTCCATTTCATTTTATAGCTATTTATAGAAGACCAAAACCACAGTTTGCATTATTTTTATGGATGAAATCATAGATTTAAACTGTTGCATCTTGAAAAAATGTCTAATTAACATTTATAATAAAATAAAAAACTAGGCAAAATCAAGATTATATAGCGCCCATCCAATATTCCAAGATTAGCTTTAATGTAGTTTTAGTAATTTTGTAAGAAAAGATTAATCTATGATAGCATTACTAATGCAACCTAGCATGAAAACCATGTACATTATCCAAATAAAAAAGCAACTATTTGATATTTCAATTGCTGAATTAATTATAAAGATTCTGTAACTACTGCATACATTTTGGCAATTTTAACTTTTTGGTTTGTTAAGTGAATACATCAACTTTCACCACTGTTCACCTTAACTAGAAACCTCCATGACTTACTTTCCTTTGGTGGGAGAGTATTTTTTTCTTCAGTATTAGTTTTCTTCAGTCTTGTTCTGTCAAATCTTTCCACTTCTGACAAGTCTAGGTTATCACTCATCTTGACTGAAAGAAAGACCAACAACAAAAAAGTTACCTACTAGATCTATGATCAGATTGGGAATAACAGTTAAAATTCATAAAAATTCAAAATATCAATGAATATTTTGCATGGTGACTTTCAACAAGACAGCAACCAATCTTAGAAAGTCATGTTTTTTTTAGAGTATTCTGATTGCAAAGCATTGGTCCATTTCTGGTGGCATTAAATGACAGCAGATGAAGATGCTCTAGAAAGCAAGATTCTCCTAGAAACCCAGGGCAATAAGCAAGTTAGTAAGTAAACAAATAAATAAATAAAAGCCCAACTTTTAAAATCCTAGCAAAGGTAAAACAGAAGTGATGAGCATTGGCAGATAGAGAGAGAAGAGCAAGCCGGGCGGTGGTGGCGCACGCCTTTAATCCCAGCACTCGGGAGGCAGAGGCAGGAGGATCTCTGTGAGTTCGAGGCCAGCCTGGGCTACCAAGTGAGTCCCAGGAAAGGCACAAAGCTACACAGAGAAACCCTGTCTCAAAAAACCAAA